ACAACTCCACATATGTAGTTAATTAGCTGTGAATTGACGTATGACAAACTTAAGATTAGAGGAAATTCCAGCTAAACGAAGGAGAGAGCGTATTGTTTCTGCCTTTCTCGTAAGTAGAAGCACCAAGTGAGATAGCAGGAGTGTAAAATTAATGAACTACCTCTCATGGTTCTATGATCTGGTAAGGAATTTGAGTACTATCTTTTATTTGACTAAGAAATAAATCATTTCAGAAGCATTGGTTAGTCAGTATGACATTTATATGGAATAGGACATTTTATGGACCTTTCTCAGGTCATGATTTCTATTGGCTAACTAATGTATCCATATTGTGTGTGAATTTCTCGCTTGATCTTTGCAGAATACTTCATACAAAGGAGAAACTCGTATATGCCACAGTAATAGACAAATTGATTTTCAACTTTGGGTTATGATTCCATGTGTGTTAAAGCTGATCGATTGGATGTAATTTCTGATCTAAGGATGCCATTGCTAAATCATCTTCTGGCTTTCATTTAGGTGCTAAAAAAGATGGAAGCAGTGTCCACTTCTTTTACCGGACAGTCAATGCGTATGCTAATGGTCAGAGGAAGCGCAGAAAGATTTATGATCAAGAAACCTCGGTGAAGTGTTATGTCCGCTGGCACAAGACAGGAAAGACCAAACCTGTGATGGAAAATGGGGTACAAATAGGTTATAAGAAAATCTTGGTTCTCTATGCATCAAAGAAGGGATCTAAGCCTGATAAATGTAATTGGGTTATGCATCAATACCATATGGGGACTGATGAAGATGAGAGAGAAGGACAATATGTTGTTTCAAAAATTTTCTATCAGCCATGGAAGGAGATTGATAAGAATGAAACTTCTTTGGTCATTGAAGAATCTGATTTGGAAACTGTTGAAGTAATTCCCAGCACTCCCAAGACAAATACTCCTGATCCTCCTCGACCAGAGTATACTCCCCCTTCTGATGTCACCGTTGATGATTATGCCATTCGATCACTTGTCCAGGTTGGTAACAACTTCCATGTTCTTTTTTTGTTATACCATTTAGTTCAGTGGCTGAGTTGAGAGTGCATTTGTTTGTTTAAGATTTTATAGGATATTGTTAAACTAACCTGTGATTTGTATCTATTATATGCTAGAGTAGGAATTGGAGACTCTCTCAGAGTCATCTCATCCCTCGTCAAAATCTCAGTTGAGGGATGAAATGGAGCATCACACTTGCTTGGATGGAGAGTCCAAAGCTGTTGAATTAGGTCGAGAGGGTTCATTATTATGCAATGAGATAATTGATTCTTATGCAATGTTTGGTAATTTAAATCCAAACAATGCTCCATCTACTCAATTTGCTCATAACATAATCAATGCAAGCCAGAGAGATGACGCTACCACTTGTGGAATTTCTGATCTTGAAAATTTGGAACTGGATACTCCACCAGATTTCTTGATTGCGGTAAGCTGCTTCTCCTGCCACTTTGTAATGAACTTAGTTTTAAAAGCTTTTCATAAATTTAACACGCGTGTCATTCGTATCCATTGGTGCAGGACCTGCAGTTTTCATCTCAAGATAGTGCATTTGATTGGCTCAACCATTTATAAGAACTCAATGGATTCTACCGATGTTTATGGCACCAAAGGGGACGTAGTATCAACAACAAACTGAAATTGTAGTTCAAGAAATTAATACGGGAAGCATTCGTGGACCGAGTTCTCAACCTTCTTCATATACCANCATTCGGAGACCAGTTCTCAACCTTCTTCATATACCAGCTAATACTTCTAATTGCAAATGTTGTAGTGAAATGGAGTTGCATGAATTCTGTTTAGTTGAAAACTTTTACATATTTTTTGCTTTAAGCATCTTATTTGTTAACAGATCATTAGGATGAAACTTTGCATACTTCTGTGGAAATTATAGGAGTCCGAGCTTTCAGCTTCACGGCTTAACTCTTTTTTTTTTTCCCTAAATTTTCATAACGATTCTGTATTTTGTAAAAGAAATAGGAATTTGGTTATATTATATATATTTATTTCTCTTTTACGTTTTTCATTCAATATACCATTTCTCACGTAGTATTTATATTTTTTAATTATAAACAATTTAAAATTGCATTAAATAAATTAGTTTAAATCCATTAAATTCCTAGAAAATGATCTATTGGACCGGCTACCTCGTATTGTTATAGTTGAAAGACAATGCAAACTTAGCTCAAATCATATTTTTGTGTCTAGAGCTGGGCAAATTATCCGCCAATAGACCCGATCCGCCAAATCGAATTGACTATTTGATTTTTGGGTTTGACTTTGACCAATCTGAAAACCTCAATTTGATGGTCAATGCTTTAAAAAATTAATTTCAAGAAAAAATATCCTTCAACCCAACAAACAGAATTGATCCAAATAACTCGATTCGATTTTCGTTGATTTATTCATTTTGTCAGTCCGATTTTGATTGAATTTCATCCTACCGAAATTGGTTGGTTCAGTTTTCAGTTTGGATTGGACTCAATCCAACATGACCTAAATAAGGGCAAATATGCGATAAACCAAAATGATAATTAGCTAATGTCCGAGGGTGCTTATATTATTAATATATTGTCACAATAAATTTTATTTGATAGACTACATTTTAATTGCAGTTAAATTCATTAATCTCTACTCATTGTAGCAATTATATTCTTAACTTTTTTCTATTGAATTCTAATCTTCAATATTTCATTGATTAGCACGCCTTGTGATTATATCAAATTATTTTGTTTTCAAAATATTTTTTTTAAAAAAATATGATAGAAAAGTAAGTTATTTTATATCATTTCAACGGATCTTTGGACATAAAATTATTATCAAATACAAAATCTGTTAACTAGAGAAAATTTGAGGATGAAAATGACATAAAAAATTACTAGGAGCGTCAGTTATTATAATAAGTAAAGATTAAAAACTTTAAATTTAATTAAAATGTAGGGTAATAANTTTTTTTTTCAAAAACTTCCAATTAACTATTTTTTTGTTTTTAATTTGTAGTTAATTATTTTTTCATTTTTCACGGGGCAGGTTCGGGGCGCTTCGGGACGGGGCACCCCCTTTCCTCCCGCCCCGCCTCGCCTTGCCCCACCCTACCAACCCGTCGGGCCGAGTTTTTTTCGCCCCATTCGGACGGGGCGAATTTTTTTTGTCATCACTAGTTATAGAGAGGAAACTCCTAAAACCTCAAAACCCTCCTATTCGAAATTTCGAATCAATAACCATGGAGTTCATCAATGAATTGAAGTGATTCTCTGGTTGAAATTTTGGAAACCCTGAAAAAGAAGAAATGTTTGCGTCTGCAAGAAATCTCCAAAAGAAAACCCTCAGAGCCGTCTCCTCTCTCCTCAACACCACCTCCATGTAATGTTTACTCAATATTTTTTCTCGTTTTTGCGAATTTTATTTAATTACTAATATTTATAGATTATTCAGGGATGTAATGCTTGCCAGAAACTATGGTCCGGTGAAATTTATCCCTAGCTCAAGCAATGTGACTAGGCCGAATTTTTTATTTCGGAACTTGTGACCTTTAGCAAAATTTTGGAATCAGTCCGAAGGGCCTCGGGAGTTTTCGGCAAAGAGCATGAGGAGCAAAGTGGAGAGGCAGATGCGAAAGGAGTCGGGCAAAACCCCGGAGGGAGATTCGGAGGGCTAAAAAGTTGAGGAAGAAGTTGATGACCGACGAGAAACGCCTCACTTACAATCTAAGAACAGTAAGTTGTTGATATTTTACTTTGTAATTTGTAAAAACTGTACTATTCTACTTGTTTAAATCTAGTTCCTCGAAATGTCTATATTATGCTTCAATTTGGCTACTGAAGATGTCTGCATTTGAGCTCGTGATATCTTGTGGAATGTTAATGCTTTGCTTGAATTCTTAATATGATATGCTGTCAAGTTTCTTTTTGGGATTCGGGTTAAACTCATTATAGAATAAAAGTTGAAGAAATTTTAAACAAATGAATCGCCCGTTTTTAATAGTACAAATAAATGAAAAATAAAAATATAGCGAAGTGCATTCTTTCCTCACATGGGAAATTTAGTCTCTTAGCAACCGTTTATGTGCAAGACATGGATTGCTAGTGCGAGAAATAACAGAAAAGAAGGCAGAGAAGATAATATTGTATTCTCCACAACTTGAGTTTTGTATAGTGCAGGGTATATATAGAATAATAAAGAGAATTATCATCCACATGATTGTGACACATTCCCTAACTGCCTAACAAAGTGCACTGTGATTGCAATAGGTGTATACATTTACAAATGACAATTTAACCCCAGATTTGCAGGTCTCGGTAGTTTTATTATCTGCTAATATTCCCACGCAAACGAAGGTGGTAGGAGCAAGAAGCCTTAGTTTGTGCTTCAGCCAATTAAAATGTTGAACAACAAAAGGTTTTATGAGGATGTCTGCAAGTTGTTCAAATGCAGGAACATGCTGGACAGCTAGAGTGTTATTAAGAACGCGTTCCCTGACAAAGTAGAGGTCAAGTTCCAAATGCTTCGTACGAGAATGTAAAACTGGATTAGCACTAAGAGCCACCGTGCTCAAGTTATCACACCATATGACTGGAATTTTGGTTTGATAGATTCGGAGCTCCTTAAGTAAAGATTGAAGCCACATTAATTCAGAAGTAGCGTTGGCTAAGCTACGGTATTCAGCTTCAGCACTTGAACGAGAAACAGTAGATTGTTTCTTCGAGCTCCATGAAACCAGATTATCCCTAAGAAATAAACAGTAACCAGAAGTAGAACGGCGGTCATCTAAGTCCAGTGCCCAATCAGAATCCGAAAACCCATGAAGATAGAGATTATTAGACTTGCAGAAGTGGAGACCATGATTTACAGTATCACAAAGATATCGAAGAATGCATTTCATTGCCTTCCAATGTGTTTCAAGAGGAGACTGCATGATTTGCATACTTTATTTACACAGTATGCTATTTCAGGCCTAGTAATTGTTACATATTGCAATGCCCCAACAGTGCTTCGGTATAAAGTTGGATTGGCAAATGGATCGCCATTAGAGGAAGTGAGGGACAAGTTTGCCACCATAGGAGTTGGTTGCGGTTTAGCATTGCTTATCTTAACTCGATTGAGGAGATCCTAGATATACTTCTCTTGGGACAACAATAAACCACCAGCAGTAGTGTGCTACACTTCAATCCCTAAAAAATAATGAAGACTGCCCAAATCTTTCAAGGAAAACTCAGAATGTAAGCAAGAAATAGAGACTCAATTGCTGGACTACTGCTACCGGTGATCAAAATATCGTCTACATATACAAGGACATAGATACAAAGTGTGGCATTGTATTAATAAAAAGAGAAGTATTTGCTCGAGAATCTTAAAGGCCAAGAGATAAGAGATAAGTCTTTAAACGATCAAACCATGCCCGAGGGGCTTGTTTCAACCCATACAGAGCTTTATTGAGCTTACAAACTACCTTATCATTTGGTGCAGGAGCTTCAAATCCAGGAGGCTGAGCCATATATATATCTTCATGCAATATGCCATTAAGGAATGCATTATTTACATTAAGTTGGAGTATACCATCTACGATTAATAGCAATGGAAAGAACCACACGTATTTTTACTGGTTTCACTACAGGACTAAAGGTATTTGTGTAATCAAACCCAGGAACTTGGTGATAACCTTTTGCAACCAGTTGCGTCTTGTATCGAGAGATAGAACCATCAGGATTTCTCTTGAGTTTAAAAACCCATTTTTCAACCAATCAGCTTTCTATCTGGGGGCAAAGAGACATAGGTCCAAGTGTTTGTTAATTAATGCAGCATATTCCTCATGCATTGCCATATTCCACTGCAGACATTTTAGAGCTTCTTTGAAAGAGTTTGGTTCACTATTTTGTAGGTCAGCAGTGAGAAGAACTTCAGGTTTAAAAATTCCAGCTTTGGATTGGGTGACCATATGATGAGTGTTAATAGGGGTGGATCCACAAGCGATGAATCTGATAGGGAAGGCAGAACAGTAGGCAATGATATAGGCTCGATGGTTGATTCACTAGGAAGTAATGAGGGCATAGAGTGTGTTGGAGGATGAGGTGCTGGAGAGTTTTGCTGTGAGAAATCAAGGTTGGGAGTAGTTCTTAGAAAAGAAGCAGTAGAAGATTGTCCAAGATGAGTTGATTGCATAGGCGGATAAAGGACTGAAGGAGGTTGACCGACACTAGAAATTGTAGAGGACTTTTGTGAAGCATATGGAAAAGTTTTCTCATCAAACACTACATGACGAGATATGAAAACCTTTCAATCGGGTGCTAAGCACTTATATCCTTTGTGGTTAAGGCTGTAACCAATGAATGTACAAGGGGCTGATCGAAAGTTTAACTTGTGTTTATTATAGGGCCGAAGGCAAGGGAAACACATGCAGCCACACACACGTAAAAATGAATAATCAGGTTTGGTATGCAATAACCTTTCCAAAGGAGACTGACCACTCAAGACTGTAGTAGGTAATCTGTTGATAAGGTATACGACACTTGAGAAAGCATCATTCCAAAATTTTAGAGGTAGTGATGCTTGGGCTAAGAGAGTAAGACCACACTCAACAATGTGTCTATGCTTATGTTCAATGACTCCATTTTGTTCAGATGTATGAGGACAAGAATGTCCGTTTGTTATCCCAGCTGAATTTAAGTATGGTGTAAGGGACCAAAATTCACCCCCTCAATCAGTTTGTAGAATTTTGATCTTTTGGTCGAGTAATAATTCAACTTGAGCCTTGAATAGAAGAAAAACAGGACAAACTTCTGACTTGCTTTTAAGGAAAAATATCCAAGTAAATCTTGAGTAAGCATCCACAAAGCTCACATAATAGCGATAACCATTAGTGGAGGGTGTGAATGCCGGACCCCATAGATCAGAATATCTCAAATGTAATGGATCGTGATAAACAACCTCAGAATGAGAGAATGATAACTTTTTGCTTTATCCCATTTGGCAAGCAGAACAAAATGATAAATCGTCATTCATTTGAATAGGGATATTACACGAGCACAGAACCGCCTTGACAATTGAAGCAGCGGGATGACCAAGCTTCATATGCCAGAGGTCCATAATTTGATTTACTCTAACATTAGACTTAACTGGACTTGAAGACACTGGACTCAAACTAGCACCTATTGACTGTAAAGAAAAAGCAGTAGGATGACACGACTGACGTTGAATAGAAGAACTTGAGGTTGACAATTTGGATGATGTAGGAGATGCCTTAAACAGATTAAACTGATACAACCCATTATGTAGTGTTTGATCCCACCATTTGGGCTTGAATATTCTCTGTCATTGATGCCAATAACCAAGAAAATATCAATTGGTCTTGGCGATGCCAGAAAACATAGTCCAGATTGACGGACCCTGGTCTACCATTTATGGTTGATGTGAGTTCTGGAGGGCAGATAGTAGAACCATCAATAAATCTCAACAACCTAAAATCGTGAATTCCAGTAAGAACATGCTGTCTCCATATGAGAAAATTTCCATAATCCAGGCGCACAATAGCTAGTTGATTTGCAGAGTTTATAGGTTGGGAAGGTTGTGGCTGTGGAGAAAATGAGAAATTAGGAGTGTGTTCAGCAGTATTGACCGGATGAAAGCTGGATTCGATGGTTGGGACTTGATTTTCTGGGCTGGAATTTGGAGACGTCATGGCTCTGATACCATGTGAGAAATAACAGAAAAGAAGGCATAGAAGATAATATTATATTCTCCACAACTTGACTTTTGCACAGTGCAGGGTATATATAGAATAATAAAGAGAATTATCATCCACATGATTGTGACACATCCCCTAACTGCCTAACAAAGTGCACTGTGATTGCAACAGGTGTGCACATTTACAAATGACAATTTAACCCCAAATTTGCAAGTCTTAGTAGTTTTATTATCTGCTAATAGCTAGTTACGATATTTTCAATCTTGTGGCTTACTACATTTGCCAAGCGTCTTTAACTTTGTCTCTTTGCTACTCAAAACTTTCTGAACATATACAGTGTAGTGAAATTTAACTATTTGTCTCTTCACCGTGTAGGCGTTATTCAAAGCAAGATTTGAACAAGCACTTGAATCTCAAGAACTAAACATAAAGAAAACAGAACAAGAGCTTCAGTGGAAGGGACGATCCAGTTGCCATGGCAAGCATCCAGAGAGTGGCGTCCTCATTCTTTAGCGCAATTGACAAGAGAGATGGAAGTCCTTGTGTTTATCAGGAGGACAAAAATATATGAATGGAACCCGATGGTCTTCCACAACAACAGTCTGCAGAAGATTGCTGAGATCGAAGTTGCAGCTGATAAAGAATGGGTTGAGGAAGCAGCAGAGATAGAAAACCTTGGAGGAATCAGATATTGGAACAAGGAAGATTAAGATGGTAGATTAAGAAGATCTAAAGCTAATGGAAGTGAAGATTCAGATGATGAGAACAGAGGAACAAGGAAAATCATTGATAGTGGTGGTGAAGATGGAGATGCTTCTGAGCTTGATGGCGGATGGGATTCTGAAGATACTAGAAGTATGAATCACGGGAACGATAGTGGAGACTCCGAGGAAGCTTTTGATAAATTTGCTGCGAGTAAAATGGAGAGAGGGCAGTAGAATAAGACTGGCTGAACCAACATTAAGAGAAATGTAAATTGAATCGATCGGTAGATTCTCTAAACAGGATTCCATTGCAAAAGATCCGTTAAGTGACCTGGAAGATGTCTTATAGGAGTCGGATGATGGAGTAGGACACGGCCCAAGAAATTCCGGAGGCTCGATTAGTCAATACAGGAACAGTAGTGATGAGAGAGACTATGATGGGATGAAGTGAGATATGGGAAGGAACACGAACAGAGGTTTGAATAGACTTACTGCTGAGGTGGTAGACGACAATTCCTTGTCTGAAGACTCATTTAGCGAGTAGGAGATTGCAAAACGGGGAGTAAGATCCCACGCCATGAGATGAATCTCCATTAAAATGGGAAGCAATGGTGTAGGCAAGCAGATACTGAAGGGAGAAACTCTTTGATACTAGGAAGCACCGACGCACTGGTTATATATATTGTGATAGGAACAAGTTTCTCTATGAGGGTAGCATAGAACACAATCTGTGAAGTAATTCACTTCATAAACTTATCCTTGACCAAATGGATATAAAGATGTTATTCAGCTAATTTATTTTAAGGTAGTCTTGTTATAAGCTCTCTTTATGCTTGGATGATGTCAATGATGCCTAAGGTTACTATTCGAACCATATATCATATCACATTGCAGTTGCATTTGTCGATGGTAATTTTTTTTGGTTACGAGCGTTCAATATCTGCAATATCATCTTAAATATGCATGATGAATACAGGCAAATCTTTGGTGACAACGCACTTGGGGTGCTGAACATGGAGATGGACGAAGTGGCCAGACATGCGAAAATGCGGGTTGTGTCTTTTAATCGGTTAAGGTTATGCCGTCTTTTCTAAATGAAGTTGAAACTATATCATCAAAGCTTAAGCAAACAATATGAAGAATTCCTTCATCAAAATTATAGAAAAGAGAGTTTTTATTCAAGTGTATATTTTTTTTCCTTTCGTGACACAAATAATAGGGTGATTCTGTAAATTTAAATCATGTTAATAAAACATTAAAATGAAAAGATTGTCGAAATCTTATTTTAATACGAATATATTTGACACTGAAAAAAACGATGATAGACCGATGATTGTGTCATCTGAACTTTAATGAAATAATGACTACCATTACGATGTCATTGATTTCTATCAATTGAAGCGATGAAATTTCATAAAATATAATTATCTAATTAACCAAAAGTTGAAACTATACACAAAACATCAGAAATGATCTAATGAGCACCGGTGCTCATCTTATTCTAAGTACCAATGAGTTGGCACATTAATTTATTGGTGAATTGGAACTCACAAAATCTTTATCCACCAATGAATTAATGTGCCAACTCATCGGTGTTTAGGATAAGATGAACACCGGTGCTCATTAGATCATTTCTGCACAAAACATATAAACCCAAGAAAAATTTATCGACTTGCTAAATGTATACAAGTGTTCGCTAACGAATAACTGCTAAAATCCACCCCCCTCGACCGGCAGATACCCACACCCTTAATAATGGCGGTGACGCCGTTGCCTCTGGCCCGTTCATCTCTCCTCCTCCATCGGTTCAAAGCCAGGTTCTTCCTTCAAACGCCGCCGTTTCGCACCCATTCTTTCCCCTTAAACCTCACAAAAACCTTCTCTGCACGTCTGCTGTCAACCACCTCCACCCCGTACCCACTCCAATACGAAATGATTATTTCCCGCCCGTCTAATCCCCCTCCTCCGCCCTCTTCCCGCAGCCGCCGTCTACCTGCCATCCCTAATTCTAGACCCGATGACTCAGAACCCGATCCGGAACTCGGTTTCGATGACTGGGTTGATAAAAAGTTATCCAGCAAGAATAAAAGCAACGATGATACAGAAACGGATATAGTCATGGACAAGGCGAAGAGAAAATATTACAATAAGAGGAGAAAAAGAATGTATGGAGAATCGGAATCCGATGAGGAAAGTGGTGGCAGGGGGAAGGAAGGGGATTATGTGGAATTAAAGCAAGAGATAGTGGAGCTACGTACATTGCACAAAAAAGAGGAAGAGCTGTATTTTTATGATGCATTTGCGTACCCATGGGAGAAAGATAAGCATTACAAGATGGTTTATCAGTTGGAGAAGAAGTATTTCCCTGATCAGTGTTTCGATAAGGCCTTTCTGGAGCCGGGCCAGTCAAATGTTAATGAGAATGTGAAGAAGGAGAAGAAGAGAGTAGAGACTAAAGAAGTGAAAGTTGAGGATGATAAAGAGCTGATGTTCTTCGAGGGGAGTGAGAGTGAGCGAGAAGGGAAGAATTTGAAAGTGGGTGATGTTACAAAGAAAAAAGTAGAGGATTTCTTCAAGTGTTTGAAGAAAGTCCCCAATATGAATAATGATGATGCCACTGTCCTGGAGCCCTTTTTTTCAACGAGAAGTGTTGGGCTTCCGCCTAAATGGGATGGTCCCACTGGGACTGTGGTTTTGGTGAACAAACCAAAAGGTATTCTTTTTTACAGATAACTGTAAGAAAAAAAGGAGAGAATTTAAGTTTCAAGCTAAGATAAAGCTCGTTGAATAAGCTATGAATAATATACTGTAAAGCTTCGAAAATATTAATCGTGTCTAGACAATATCTTGCATTGAAGCTGCCAAGTTGACATTTAGAGTTTAAGAATCTAGATAGGCGTTGAACTCTTGCAGTCTGTGCTAATTAAATGCAGGAGTAAAGGGAAACTCCTTTGCACTCTGGTTTTTGGAGTTACTATGAAGTGGATGATTTGTGTCTTCTTTCATAAACACTACAAGTTCAATCTATTAAACAAATTAGTTCCAGACTAATAGCCAGTTTGAACAGGTTGGACTTCATTTACAGTTTGCGGGAAGCTGCGACGCCTGGTCAAAGTGAAAAAGGTGCTTCTTTACTATTTAACCTGGAGTTTTGACACAATACATTTAACTGGATATTCCTCCCACAAATTTGCCTTTTTCAGGTGGGGCATGCTGGGACTCTTGATCCTATGGCAACTGGTTTATTGATCGTATGCGTTGGTAAAGCTACCAAGCTAGTTGATAGGTGAATTGTGATGTATATTCCAATTTTGAATGGCATTTGGGAACACATTTGAATACTAGTTGATATCTCTTTCAATTTTCTGTTCCTTGGTCATCTAAGTTATGAGTATTTTCAAGATAAGAGATGCATTTTTATTTTACACACCAGGACTCTCTTTAAAGATTTCAATATTTTCTTGTAGATATCAAGGTATGATAAAGGGTTACAGTGGAATATTTCGTTTAGGAGAAGCGACCTCCACCTGGGATGCTGATTCGCCGGTGTGTTTGTTTGGTTGAGAATTAATTCTACATTCCGTCTTATATTCCTAAAGTTCTTCGCGTTGCTTATTTTCCCCATAGTTAAGAAAAAAATGAACTAGCCGATTGCACACGTCTATATTTTGAACTTATTGCAGTTGGTAGTGTAGGTGGTTAAATACTAGTGCTTGGAGATAAACTACAATAATTTATTCGGTTTATGGAAGAAAAGGAATTTCCATAATTTTGTAATTTGAGAAATCAACGTGTGAAGAAGTAGTTACTGAAGTAGCTCAACTCCAGAAACTAGCAATAAAAGAATTGAAAATTAGAAAGAGATTCAGATGTAGACGCATGGTGATAATAGACCTAAGGTTGCATAAATTCAATGTTTACTTATATATTTTCTTTTGAAAAGGTTAACGCAAGCAAGATTCTTAAATAGTTGGTCATTCGTTTCATTTATGTTAAACTTTTAGTTCTAATCTTCGATTAATGATTTTTATGTGATTGCTACTTTATTAAATCTATTTCGCACACCCATAATTTTTATTGAAATTAATCAATTATATATATGGATTTTTATATGTTTTAAAGTTTATTATGTTGATATATTTGTCTCTCTTTTCAATTATTGAATTATTTTGGTTTATTTTGAGGCTTACACCTTAAAGCTGCTCGAGGCATACCCTTTGCCCTTTGCCCTTTGCTGCATAGACTGATTTAGCGTTTTTAAATATCCTTGTTATCTTTTACCAGAATGATTTGGAAAAACAATACCAATGCCAGTCCTTCTCTCCCAGGTCGTAGTCTTGAGTTGTCATATCATTTTAATAAATACTTTATGTGAGTGTGACGATCACTAAATCCGCTTTTCGTTTATCTTCCCTTTTGCAATCATTTTGTTGACTTACACAAGTGTGATTTCTGTATTTTGTTATTCAGGTTATCCAACATGAGCCTTGGGAACATATTAAGGATGAGAACATAAAGAAAGCTGCTGCATCCTTTTGTGGAGAAATATGGCAAGTCCCTCCAATGTTCTCAGCTATCAAAGTAAGTTTCCGTCACCACGTTTTCTGTATTCTATCCTTTCACTGGAAAGTTTCCAGGCTGTGTGTGTACAGTTGCATTTTTTGTATTGATGACTATTGTTTCACGGTAGGAGCAATAAGCAGCGACATCATATAAGGGTTACCTGGCAAATTAAACTCACGAGAATTTCTTTAATTTTTGTATTCATGAACGTTATGAAGCGTTTGATAGATGGCATGACATTTCCCCATATAATAGGTCGGCGGAGAAAGGATGTATGAGAAAGCTAGAAAAGGAGAAAGCATTGAACTTTCACCACGACGGATTTCAGTATACGAGTTCAGTGTTGAACGAAGTTTAGATGACAGGCAAAATATTATTTTCCGGGTGACATGCTCAAAAGGGACATATATTCGATCCCTCTGTGCTGATTTTGGAAAGGCTCTGGGAAGGTAGGATATATTAAAACCATATTTTTCTATTCAGGTTTCCATATCTCACTATCTGAAAGAGTTGGAGAATAATGCAATAACTGGACAATATTCTTTTTCTTTTGCAGCTGTGCACACTTGATAGCCTTGCGCCGAGATTCAATTGGTAAGGGCTTTATACTCAATTTAAACTATCCATTGTCCTGTGAAACAAGTTTTGCTTAGAGGATATGCACTTATAAGCTAAGAAGCATGGTTCCGGATACGTAATTCGGGTACGATACGTATACGTCGATACAACTTTTTTGAAAAAATTAGGATAAGCCGATTCATGTTATAAAATTCAACAAAATTTCATTATTATTAAAAAAATTAATACGGAAGCATGATTATAAAAATAAAATAACATACTAAAGCTCTTTATCTTAATCATTAATTGTTGAAACTTCATTTTTCTTCATCATCAATTTCTTTGTCATCATTAAAAATAACAATCTTCAACTAACTCATCTAATGATAGATCAACAACCTCAAGCAATCAAATACATTTAAGAGTATCAAATGAGCCTCTGGCAATGTTATACATTTTGGATTCTTCTTTTGAATAGTGATTTAATTTTCTTGATAGAAGGGACAAATTGCTTTTGAGAATTGCTTTTGAATAAAATCAATTATTCAACTCGTTGTGAAGTTATTTTATTCCTTCTCGTAGAGTGCACAGAAGAGTGCATACTCCAATTTCTTTCACTACAAGAGGGAGAAGAAGGTTACACAAACAATTTCAAAGTAATGCTTTGTAGCAAAGGTGCATATGAAGTAGCCAACAAATCTTTAAATCCATTTTATACCAATTAGTAATAATAAGGTTTAACATGTAATGAAAGATTAAATAATATTGTGCATTTTCAATAAAAAGCCTAGTTAATTTTAGAACTCTAATTGTGTATTTTTAATAAATATTATTGATATTCAATATAAAATAACTTTAATAATACATATCGGATACATATTAGAAATTTAAAAATATAAAAACATATAAAATAATTAAAAAATAAGTATATGATATGTATCGAAAAGTATCGGAGCTTGGATACGTATCGGATACGGGTACGTAACGAGTTTACAAGTATCGGTGCTTCTTTGGTTATAAAGGGATAAATTATGCAAATGAAAATGGATGGTGCTCGAGATTGTAGACATAAATAATTTTTTTTTTTATTACAATTGACAACATGGTAATTCATTCAAACGTGTGTTATCTTGGGCTCATGGGTCATAATTTAGGCTAATTATGTTCTCTCTGTCTATCAGGAAATCATTCAGCGGATGATGCCTGGGAATTTCAAGAGTTGGAAGAAGCAATTACAAAAGGATATTTATAATCTCTTCTTTATTCTGTAAGTCTGGAGTCACCACATTGAGAGAAGCCGCTCATTTTTGACATGCTTTAAGAACTTAAATGTCACTGGAATCTGTTTTCTAAAGGCCGAAATGTAAAATTTACGAACAAAAATTTGTAAAGAATGTTTAAATTATTTATAGCTCTCTCTCTCTCTCTCTAAAAGATGGACATGCTCATTCTTTGAGATGCATGAATTCACACTGATCGTGGATGTTTAATACGAGAGAACTTGGGGGTTTTACTGCAATGTCATGACTTGAAATTCCAGTTATCCGTTGTTATGAGATAGATTTGTGATCCCTGTGATCTTATAGACGAATTTGGTTTAGCGTCGAATGCCATTTGAAGTCAGTATGCGTAGACTGAGTATAAACCTGCCTTGAATACAATTTCCTCTCTTGGGCGAACTAGAAAGAGATGATTATATTCATGAAAACTAGTTCAAGCAAGTACAAGCCTTCTCTATTCTTATGGTTACTCCTACGAGATTTCGTCAATGAGAAGTATCAATGCAGTGTTCAATCACGATTCTTGATACCCAAATGATCCACCTAACGAGTAGGGGAATTAGGTGGATCAATTCCCATGGCATCGTAGTAGGCTTTTTCTGCAGCGATCATGCGGTCTTGAAACATCTTCCATTTATTTCTACACCTTTGCCTTACCAAATTCAAGAGAAGGGCATCGTAAAATAAGAAATTTGGATCCCTCGAGTAAACCCAATTAGAAGGATAGTATGAGCATTATATTGGATTAGTGCCACATACTGGACAGGGTTAGGACTCGACAAGGCTAGGGTTAGGCGACTCTTGGTGGCTTGTGTTGTGATATGGATATTTAATAAAGAGCAATACTACATGCACATGGAAAATTTACAGTACCTATAAAACACTATGAATTTCCCTTATACAAGTATCATTTCTATTTAAAAATGAGCAAGAAGGGGACTGCGATCTATATGTGTGACTTTATATGCAATGAGAAATGAAGAATGTGTAAAGTTATTACATACCCATTCCAATGGCGTATTGCTTTTTTCTGCCTTACCCTGTAAAAAGAGAGAATTTAAGACGGGAAATTGGAGATTGCACTTGTCTGAGATAAGATCACAAAATACCTGGTTTCCAAGGGAAATAACATCCATTGAGAATCTACCACTCCTATTTTTTCATGAGCCGGCTGCGTTTGAAAAATGATGCAATATATATGCAGTAAGATAGATACATTGGTGATATCTTGCCCCTAACACATTTCTGGAGAGCAAAATCAAGATCCCATCCATGGACCAAGTCATTCTGCAGCATCATTTGCATTGTTAAGGTTTTACAGTCAAAAGGACGGATTATCTCTTTCTTTTCGTTCTTATTTTAGAAAGAGAAGAAAGCGAAGACCATACTTGATACCTGAATAATGCACGATGCATTTGCGAAAAAACAGGTGCCATGATCTCGACGAATCTGTATTACACACTTTGGTGGGTAAAAGTGTTCAAGCCAAGTAGATGCTTAACCAATTAACATGCAGTCATTAACAAAAATTAAAATCATCGACATATGCTGCACATGGTGGCAAATGAGGATCATTGCTCCAATCCGGTCTTTCCTCTGTTTCTATGTGCAGCAGAAGCAATTAGATTCTAAGCACAGAGCAGAGTACATTGATACAATCGGCATCTTTGGATAAGTTTACTGGGCTAAAAATCTTGAATTTCAGTAAGCAATCGAAGACACGGACATAAGTTCAGTAGCTATTGGGACAAGTAACTCATGAAAAGAACAGGTGGGCTCCAGTATTAAATCAGAATTATTCAGGGGATCAGGTGTAATGCACTGCTTCTCTTTAAGTGGCTGCAATCCGTATCTCAGTTTTTTCTTTGTGGAGAAATTTCACCGGAGCTCACTTAACTTACAAATTTGCTTCGGTTAGTTACACAACTTTACTTTATTTCAATTTCATCAACAAACGTATTTTTTATTTTAATTTGACCATTTTCGTTTACTCAAATTTTGAATATATTTTGATGAAAGTTAAATGAATGCGTGGTTAAAAGATTATGGGTCTTATAAAATGTGATTTTAATCTAAAAAAATTTAATTTAACGGCCAATTTCCTAATCTAGGCAACAAAATTTGCAATTTGACTTTTAATTTGAAAATCAATCCTTTTTGGTTGCTAAAAACCTGCAAATCTCACTTTTTTGTTGTTTCAAATGAGCAAGTCTTGTAATGAACGGTATACTTGTCGTAAATTTGTATCGTTTAATATGTTTCTTCCTTGTGAACAGTATGATATTCATGCTAAAAGTTGTATTTGACAATCGATATTTAAACACAGATAAAATTAATATGTGACGATTATTTTACAGAATGAAATTGTCGTATCATTTATATTGTTCACAAAAGTGTGCTGTAATGTAACTTGCGTAAAATGCAAAAATTGCGATCCCTATATTAATGTAACTATATTCACATGACATGCAAAATTGTGAATTGACAACGCGTGTGATGTAAAAAATGATATACAACAATTGTGACCTCTATAGTTTATGTAACGGCGGTGAAAAAAGGAAAGATAAGTATTTCTCTCCCCCATTTTTTTATAAATTGAGTTTCAAATATTAAAAATCAGATATACATTATCACAATTAACAGATTTTTGGACAAAATAAAAATAACTAAAAATAGTTTTAAAACAAAAATACTTGATTTGTGAATAAAAAAGATAATACTTAATTTTTTACAATGAAAACTTAAAACCATGGTTCATATAATTTTCTCAAAAATAATTTTTTTTACATAAATTCTAAATTTTTTTCGAGTTTCAATCATAATTTTACATAAAAATGACTTTTTAGAAAATTTATTTTGAAATAAATGATTAAAACATGGGCTAAATTTCACTGTTTCTATCTCACATTTAATTTTTACCATATTTTTTAAAATTATCTAAATAATCAAAAAGCTCGCGGCCCGGGCGGTTCCGCTCGTCACGGGCAGGGCCCATGGTGCCGAGCCATTGCCACCCCCTAAATTCGCCGTACACTAACTGACAAAACAATCTCTCTCTCCCTCTCTCTCTCTCTCTCTCTCACAGACAAAAGGTTTGCAGGGACTCACGCACAGAGTCACCGATGGGAAAGAAGGAAGGAGGGGAGAGCAAGAAAGAAGAAAATTCTACTGTAACCAAGGTAAAGGAAGGTCACAACTTGATGGACTCGCCGAGTTTCAAGCCTCTGGACAATGGGCGATTCAAATGCTTGGAGACTGGCCATGAGCTCCCGGCGCACTCTGCCCAAAGCATTACCAAAAATACGCTTCCTCAAAATATGTTTCTTGAGGACCCACTTTGCCGGTAAATTCCTGTATTTTAATTTTGCCCCGCGACTTGAAGGGTTACGAGAGGGGTTTAAGGTTTATGTAATTTTTAATGAGAATAGGGGAAGTTTGATTTTTGGTTGCTGCATTGTTTCAGTTCAAAGTTAAAGTGCAAGTTAACTGGAGTAACGATCAATAAAACAGAGGTGCATATATGGAAGCATATCAATGGAAGGCGGTTCCTCAACATGTTAGGTTTGTTTTATCTATTTAATTTTGCTTGAACGGAACTTTGTAGGATTTAAAAAATCCTTTGATTGCTTATCTTGAATTTGGCTGCGTTAATATATATATGGTTAATATGAACAGAGGAAATGGAAGTTGAGAAGGAAATGCTGAATGGGACAGTAGAGAAACAGGACGAGGAAAAAGAGGAGGAGAAGAAGAGAGATGATGATTTGAAGAAGAATAAAGATGATGGTTTGAGGAAGAAGAAGCAAGAGGAAAATTGTAAAGTTATAGCTGAAGTGGAGGACTCTACAGGGACTGTTGTTGATTTAGAAGAAGAAAATGAGTTCTGGTCCTTCTGGATGCCTCCGTTTGGGGATCGTAAAGACCATGATGATGGAGTCGAGGCAGAAAATGATAATATTGGTGAAGAAGGTATGTCCGTATCTTCTGGATATATTTTGTCATGCAAAATGCATATTTGCATAGATTGGAATGGTATATTCCACCATGGCATCTTTAACTCTCTAATATGCTTAAATTACGAGCGCAGTGAGATTTTTGTTGTGTTAAAATACCTGTGAGAATTGCTGATGCTGAAGAAATCTCAAGTGCAGATATGTTACCTACTTTGGTGATGATACATGCTGAATAATCATCAGAACGTGGCATGTTTTTCCTTCTTACTTCTCCAAACACCATTACAAATACAGCTGACGCAATGGCAAGAAATTATTTGTTTTTCTTGATAGCTAGACTTCTTTGGACTAAATAGTTTTGTGTTTTAGTGGTAAAGTGGCAATTTTTATATCAACAAGAATCCTTGCATTTTAGTCCTTTCTTGAGACCTTTGAGTCAAGTGCTTTATGAGTTAGGTTTTACTGTTTCATCTGATAGTTGCAGAAGTTCCCAATGACTTGCATAGATTTCTAATTGGTATACAATCACAAATGATGATGTCATCGGGTTCTCGAATCTGATTATGTAAGGCAACTCTCACACGCAAATGCAATGATTATTTGTTGATTGAGAAGTGTTAGGTAAGGTTAGATGAAAATGAGCTAAAGACTTGTTACACAAATCGGATTTGATTTAAACCCATTTATATATATATGTATGGATGGATGTATGGTATGCCATTAGACCAATTTGTAATGTTAGAATAGTACTTATCCTGAATATGCTACTTCTTGAGTTTACTAGACTAGACATGAATGCAATTAGTCTACGTCTAACTATCTAAGCGAATATGCTACTGCCTAAGTTTCCGTTATGGAAGTTTCTTTTCTGTAACTTTGTCCTCTATTTGTAAATATTTAAATTTGATTTTGAATAAACAGCAGAAGGTAACAAGCAGAAAAGGAAGCAAATGAAGGTTGACTCAGATGCCTTGAGACTTTCTCCTTCTCTACCGAATCTCCTAGATTCTCTTGCTAATTTGAAGGGTGAACAAGTATGTTTTCAGCTGTATGACAATACATTCTCTCTCTCTTTGAATCCACCTGCAGATAACATTGTGATTTCTTTATTTTGGAGACAAAACGGAATTTTAATTTGAAACTTGCATATTATACAGGTAGCAGCTAGGGTCACTCAAGAGGATGCTGAAAAAGATGAATGGTTCATGGTTAAAGTGATCCATTTTGACAAGGAAACAAGAAAGTAAGTTGTAGTGCTTTTATTAGATCCTCCTCACTAGATAGATATTTTGTATGTGTATGAGAACGGAATGACATCTCTCTATTAAACTTGTTTTATTTTATGCCTCTGATTTGCTTCTTATGAATGCATCTCTATATAGATTTGAAGTTCTATATGAGGAATCTGGTGATGATGAGGAAAGCAGTGTACAGATGTAGGTGTTTTCCTTCTCCTTATCTATTAAACGATGTCTTCTTTATTAATTTTTCACCATGTTATCTTGTGTAAACTAAGCGTTTGTTGGTTTGGACACTCATGTTGTTTCTATGTCAATTTAAGAATTCTTTTTAGTACTTCTTGGTCATATCTACGAAGTATGTTTTTTTTTCTTTTTGTTTCCCTTTTGTCTTACCAAAGAAGGCGATGAATTCAATTTTGACATGGCAATGCAATTGGTGGAACATTTTACATCAAATTTGAACTGATATGTTTTTTATTCTGGCCATTTTTGACACTTAAATGACTTGTGATGCGTGTCAATAGTGTTTGTTGACTATTGCAGTATGACTCAAGTGGTCGTTTACTATTATAAAAGTGGGTTGACTGTTTATCAACATAAGCCAAACATAGGCTTCGTTTAAAAAAGTATAGGTTTCACAATACTTGAGCCTAAGGTGTATCTATTGGCTGTCACTGCGACAACCAGGGCATGTGCCCAAAGCTGTAGTCTTACATACTGTACACTTTGAGAGGGGAAAGCGGACAGTGCTTAAGAGTATGGCTTGGGCACAAGCTCGGGTTGTTACCGTCAATAAGTAAAATAATTTCATAGATAATTATGTTTGCGCAATGTAATAACAGTAGACATATCGATTCTTTTAGTTATTGCCTTGTGTGTTTTTTCATTGAAATTCCTGTCCATCTTTCAGAAGCCAAATCCTAATGAAATCACCTACATGTGTACAATTTCTCTCCCATAAGATTTCTATTATTAGGAAATAGAATGAAAAGAAATTTCTGGCAAATCGGGGCAGCTTCAGAGTGTTGCATTCATGTCCTGTGATTTTCTTTGTACTATATAATTCATCATTCCATTAGCTTTGTCAATCAAGCATCCAATTTCCTATGTTGCTTCCTCACATTACAATATGTAATACTAGGTATCCAAATTTTATTTCTTAGATGATAATCTATTTACTCCGTGCTTCTAAACCCCTCTTTCATCGTCCATTTCTATGTCTGATGCTTATGACAGTCCTTCGGTTTTGTATATTGTGTTTGTTCAATTAATTAATATTTTCTTTCCCCCTATGTGTTCTCTATATATTGCTTTCAGAGAGTACAAGTTACCCATGTCACATATCATACCTTTTCCCAAGCGGACTGATCTCACGAATGGTCAAGATTTTCCTCCGGGAAGTCATGTTTTGGCAGTCTATCCTGGAACCACCGCACTATTTAAGGCAACTGTAGTCCAGACTCGAAAGGTATGTATTACAAATTACTTCGTGCATAAACATAAATGAAAGTGAAACTTAATAGCTCATTACTTTGTGTATACATAAATCAAAGTGAACTAACCGTTGTTGTACTATGCATGTGATGCAATGTTTCCGATTTTGCTAATGGCTAGAGGAAAACTGATGAGTAAGTAGCATTACCTCTTTTTTATTTAATTATTTTCCGATTTTTTAACTATCTATTTACACTTGGTGCATTATTTGGTATCGTCCCATTTTATGTAATCATTCATATCAAAGATGCCATTGAAGAACTAGTTGTGGTATCTATACTGAGAGTAGATTTGCTTGTTTGACTAAGATCCTAATTGCGAATTTTTTTAAGTTTTGAAATTTGGATTTGACAGTTACATTTTGGAATTTGACGATGATGACGATGGGGAAGGATCTTTTCCTCGACGGTTGGTACCATACCATAGGGTGGTTCCTCTTCCAGAAGGACACCGCCAATGAATTTGAACCTGTCTATAAGAAGATCGATGCTGCCTGATAAGAGGATTGCTAGTAATTTGCAAATAGTGCCTTTTGAAAACATTTAGACTGCCTTTACGCAGAATTCCTAACTTCCAACAACAAAAGATAACTTTTCACTATCAAAAAATAAAACAAAATTATTTGCTTGGTATTTACTATTTATACATTTTTGTTGTCAAGATGTCTTATAGTTACTTCTTTCCTGCCTTGTGTTTGCTTGTTAATTCACACTACAATCCTTTTTTTTTTTAATTGAGTTCTTATTTTCAACCTTCTATGAGTTTGTATTTCTGTATTTGAAGATGGTTTCTATTAAATATTATATTTACATGCTTTGAAATGGGAGAAAAATATTTTGTTATACTTGTACATTTATTTGTTTTTAAATATGATGAGAAAATAAGTCGTTTTATTCCCTCCCAACTAACTTTTTGTATGAAAATCACTATCAACGACGAAATATGTTAATTAATGAAACGTTGAAGATAAACGCGTCCAAAACAAGTTAAGGATATAAAAGATGCAATGAACAAAAATTGACCGCCTTAAGTTCAATTGTTTTGCGGTGCAAATAATATAAACTATTGTGGATATAATTATCTATTTAGCTATCAATCAACAAGTCTATTTATCCAATTGTATGACCATTGCACTTTTATTCTTTGCATTGGGATAGTCTTGTAACATTTTTTGAAAGTGTTGATAAATAGTTTAAATAACAAATAGATGGAAATGAATAATGGATAAGTACTTATTTATGAATATGAGCTGAACATAGGCTTAATAAATCTGTATATAATCCTAATTTCCCAACCCTTTCAAACAAACATAAATTCAATCCAATCATCACATGATTTTGGGTCAACTTAAACTTGCTGTATAGCTCACCATTAGAACGCTGAAGAAAGCATCAGAATTTCAAAATTAGCACGAAAAGGTCGGGCTACGACGAGGAAACGTGGACATGCGACAAACCACCATGTTATTACCCAAGTTCAAAAAGTGGATTGGAATAGCGAAAGCAGAACTCTTTTCATAAAGGTAAAGAATTATATCTTTCATGATAGAAATGAAGGAATTGCACATTAAAAAACACAGAAATGATGACCGCTCTACAGTTGCCAAAATTGTGTCATAAAATTTACAATATTGTGTGCAAGGACAACAGGGACTTTGGTCCATGAAAAACAGCACAAAGTAGCATTCTGAGCTAAAATATTCATTTCTTGAATTATATAACCAAGAAAATACAGATTCTGAATATAGAAGGATTGCTCCTTTTTGCCTCATAGATCCAAGATTGTGGATTGTAACTTCATAACACAGTTGCGCTCCTGCAGAAATCTATGATATTGTCTCCAAACCACAAATGACCATCAGAATCTTAACGGTGACTTCAAGGTTCTGCACATATCATTTGTTGATGTAACTAGCTTCCTATATGAAGTCGCCATGCGCATTTAAATATGTGGTACATACGAGGCAAACTGAAAATTAATACCCAAGCATTCAAGCCCAAACATACATGAAGATCATTTTAGGGTAATGTTAATGACAAGACTACCTAGAGGCCATAAGTATTGAGATCAGTTATTAGATGATAGACACTGGCATGGTTATTCGTGTATATCTAATTGACAAGATCAAGAATCAAAGATCATTTTATTAATTAATAACTGAAATGAGGAAGTATATACCTTTAAAGTAAGCGGACTCACAACTCTGTAATATCCTCCCATGATTTCTTTCTCATAATCAGAACTCTTTCTTCAATCGAGGAGAGAGCATCAGCACTCGGTTCCACCTCTGATACCCATCCATTCCACTTTAAGACAGCCAAGAATTTTCGTACATGGTTTATGACAGAAGGCCTGTCTCTTATGATGACAAACCCTTCGGGCCTTAGTATTCTGTCCATTTCAATCAGCAAATCCTCCGAGCTACAACCAATTGCCTCAATCTTTGAGAAGATTGACCATGCATGTAGTAGGTCATATGTGCGTGGGTAAGTTGAAAATGATTCACACCTGCGAAAGACATTGAATATTATAGCTCAACTATTACTTTTTTTTACTAAAATGAAAGAAAAAGATCCTACATATTCACAAAAATAAAGAAAATGAACTTCGTTCTTGTGCGTTGTCTTTTAACAGGGAGGTAATTTTTAGGGTCAGAATTTGAAAGATTATGCATTCATAGTGTAACTATTTGAGAAATTAATACAATGTTGTGAATCTTGTGACTATGGAATCTCATGGTAATCCACGATCAACTTCCTTTCATCGTACCCCACCCCGAATCCCCGTTGCCTCGAAAGAAAGAGGTCCTAAACCACTAGAAGATGGGGGCCGACTTGCCCAACCAAAATTGCATAGTTTTTTCTGTACCACCTTCTACCCTCCCAGGACCTTGAATATAACCTCATATATGCAAACAAAAAGTGTCTAAATATCAAACGAGGAAAAGTACTCTCGATGAACTAAATGAACAAAATATGTAATCCTTGTCAAGCAGTGTGATTCGTTCATCTTCAAAATAAAAGCATTTAGAATCCTTTTAAGAGGTAAGCTTGACAGCTTCCACATTGCATGCAAAAGCAGTTCAAAAGTATCAACCAAAATCAGTAAGATTGAGAAGAGAAACAAGAGAAACAGGAAGAGAAATTGGGACTTGACCTTTTAACCTGTATGTTTTATTTCTTTAGAAAAAATGCGGAAAACTATAACATTTCCCATTTTCTACTTTGCACTGTTGAAAATCATAAATGTCTGGGGAGGTGAGTATCATTGTCAATATCTTAAGGATTTAAATAAAATGTAATTTGACCTGGTCTCATGCGAGGTACATGTAAATAACCAAAACTATAACCAGCATGTTCTTTATGCACACATAATATAAAACACAAATTAACTATTTTAACTCAATATTATAAAGCGGAATCACGGTGCCAATTTAAAGATAGCTCCGAGAGAGAGAGAGAGAGAGAGAGAGAGAGGCCCTTTCACAAGTACTGGAGGAGATTTTTTATTTCTGTGAGTGGCTGGGAGAAGGGAAGGACAAGACAGACCAGGAAGACTTGAACTATTAATGAGAATAAGTGGCTTACCAGTCATGAACTGTTCCAATAAAACCTCGATCATATATAATCTTCAATTTGTTAGATGCATTAACTGGAGCAACATTCATCACCCAAACATCCTTGTTCCTTAAAGCAGCGGCAAACCCACCAAGGTGTGAGTTCATGTCCATGACATTTCTGACTGAGTTCCTTTGTACAACAGATTTCATCTGCTTCCAATACTCGGAAACTCGGTAATGCCATATAATCTGCATCACATTTGTATCTGTTTAGATGCTATAATTTAAAAAATATCTTTGACTTAAAATAAAATATTCATATTGGCAAGCAAACAGTTATAAAATGCAAGTGTTCCCCAGAGCTTAAGATCCTCACAGTGTCTTTTTTAAATACTTCAGGACTGATACCAATTTCTTCCAAACGAGGAGGCACTGCAGATAGCCTTTGTGGCCAGGGTTCTAGTCCACTCCCTTTCTGCTGATGCATCTCTGTTCTCCCATATACGTGGACATTAAATATGTTAAAAGCAGAAAATATGGAACAGAAACCTCAAAACAAAATTTCTACCAAGCGATGAATAAATGAAAAGTACCACCAACTAACATGTAGAGACATTTTTCAATCATCATAAGTGATGGGAAAAAAATAATTTAGAGAAGAACCCTATTTAGATTAAGGAACAACAGAATTTGGCAGGCTGTATATTGTTACGGTAACATGAAAACAAAATGTTTTTATATACTCAGGGATGCTCAAACAAACTATTATTTTTGATCATCTTTACAGAAGATTTAATGTCAACCCTAAATGATATAGAACTCTTGTCTACAGAGGATTATGTAAGTTGTTTTGCTTCTGATTAGTCAAGTTCAACTAAGATAAAGATTCCTTGCAAAATATAGATTACCAGGGCCATTTAAGTTGAATGCTACAGAGAAAAAAAAATGAAGATAAAAATAAAAATCTCATATAGAAAAAACGATGTTTCATTCGCGATTACATTTAAATAAATATTGAAAAACACAAATGCTTAGCTGTAAAAGGAATAGGATACATACTTTCCGAATATGGGGTGATGCACACCTTCATGAGAACATTCCATGCTGCATCCGGATCATCATTAGAACTACACATGGGTGGGTTGGTTCCAAGATTTCTCTTTAAGTAGCAATTGTTACTCAAAGGCTTAGCCCATATCACTGTTTGATCTCTCCTTGCAACAACTCTCCAGCACATTCTTCTCAGCAGGTCGTACATAGCATTCCAAATTTTTCGATTCTCTAGGTCAAGTGCATATGCTTCTGGTGAGGAGTACACGAAATATCCTCCAGGTCTAAGCAATCTGTCCAACTCCAACAAAAGGATCCCATCTCTCTGGAGCCAATCAATCCTACAACGGGAACAATGAGCCAATTCAAATGATCTGCTGGGGTATGGTAGTCTTTTGGTGCCCAAGACACCTAAAGTAGCTGGGATCCCCCTTTCCAGGGCAAACTGTATTTGATTTTCATGGACATCATTAGGAGCAAGGGACATAGCTATGATGTTATGGCGGAGAAGATAGGCTCCAAAACTTGCAACTCCACAACCCACATCAAGAACACTTCGAATATGACCACCGTTGTTGAGTTTTTCACCAGGAAACTTAAGCATCTGCGGAGCACAACAATTGAAAATTAAAAAACATGAAGGAACTAGAAATAAGATCAGATGATCTGACGCAGCTCATAATTGAAACTAACTATAAAGCGCACCCCTGCTATAGCTGAAATGTATTTGTCAGCTCCATCATGGAAATGGGTTCCACCACCTGGAAACTTTATTTTCTCCCCGTCCACAACCATCCAATTCTGATCTGATTTCTCTTTTGCAAGATGTGTATGGGGTATGTTCGCCTTCCACACTTGGTCCCTACTTGCCGGCCATCTAATTGGGATCTGGACTTCTAAAGCAACCCCATTGGAATCAAAACTAACAAAACTGAATAATATTTAGAGTAACATGTGTAATTGCAACAAGTCGAGGTACATTAAAGATACAACCTTGGGTTTCAAATAAGTGATTCATTATTCAGCCGAGGGATTTCAGTCATATGAAGATAATTCAGTTCCCCAAGGAGAAAAAATCAAAGTCTAAATTAAGATAGAAACGTGGATCAGATAAAGTAACAAACCTTGTAACCTGTGGGAGGAGGAATGAGGCAATTCAAACGCCTCTCTGGAGGTGGACAATGTCTTTCATAATGCTCCATTAAACTCAAATTAAGCTTCAATTTCATTTGATATATTAAATTTCTATCCAGACACGGTATCAACTCCGAATATCTCAAATCACAAACCTACATACCACAATCCAGGAAAAAAAACATGAATCCAACATCACTGGAGAATCAGAATAGTTTACTACAAATGATGAACTGCATACCGGAATGCTTTTGGGAACTTCAGGATTGTGTTCTTCATCTTCAAACAATTCATCAAAGTCCTTTTTCACAACAAATCTTCCAGTGACCGGGTCAACGCCATTTTCAAACGAATCATCTACACGCGGCAGAGCCGGTTCAAACAATGACCCGTTATACAAACAAACCAAACCCAAAAACACTACCAATCCAACCAACACATACTTCAACAGCTTCGTCGAGTTGATAGCATCACGCTTCAGCTTCATTTTCGGTCCAAAGCAGAATTCAATTTCACAGAAGAATTGCACAGAGTCAAAACCCTACTGACAGAGCAGATCCATTACTGAAGGGCAAAGCAAAATGGGGTGAATTAATTTTTTTTAAGGTTTATTTTGAAGAATTCCTGTTAGGGGAAGGTTGTATCCGCGCGTTTCGTACGCATAGAAATGGGAATAATGCATAAAATCTGGGGAAACGAAAAGGACAACTGACTGTCGAAGTACCATGGAAAAAACGCCGTTTTTTGTGTTGAGGAATAGAGCTTGGTGCTGACGTGTATGTAGGAGCTAATATCGTAGAAGGTCCTCAACTTATATTTTGTAGTATTTGGATCCCTAACTTTTCAATTTGCAATATTTTCATTAGAACAATATTCATCTATTTGTAGTTAAAAAGTCTGATTGCGTAGCCTCCATTTGGAATATATTTGGAAAATTTATTACATGTTTGAGACCCATTTTTTCTTAAAAATGTAATTTAAAATAATAGATTGATGCAAAATTTATGATTGAAAAATAAGGCAGAATTTTGAATTTGCTTGTAACATTATTTTATTGAAAAATGTGTGGTTGAAAAGAAGAGAAAGAAAAATATGTATAAATTAATCAAACTTTATTTTCAACCAAATATTTCAATAGACCCACCTCTATTATTCACTTATCAACAACTCATTTATATTTATTTATAAATTAAAACGATTATAAATTCCACTTATCAACAACTCATGTATATTTATTTATAAATTAAAAACGATTATAAATTCTTCCCAAACGAAGGCTTTAGCATTAACTACGTAAGATTATTGATAGGGGTTGGGGACCCGGGTGCTGGGGTTGTTGAAGCCATTCTAGTATTTTATGCAACAATAATGCTAAATGTACAATATTTGATTTACATTATTTTTGGCATCCCCTTTGTTTTCAAAAAAAATTGTGGGTGGAAATTTTTTTTTTTTTTTTAACTGTCTAATTGTGTGCTGCCACATAACACAATATAGCCCATGTTTGGCCCCCATTTTTGAGGGTCGAAAATTTTTAGAATATTGATTGATGGAAAAATGTGTGGTTGAAAATATAAGTTATTTCGTCTCAAACAGTTATTAAACCTTGGAAACGAGTCAGGCAGACCTCACAACTAAGCCACTGTTTGACACCCATTTTTGGAGAAAAAATAAATTTTGGAATAGTGATTGATGGAAAAATGTGTGGTTGAAAAGTTTTAGATTTGTGTGTAATATTATTTTATTTGATGAATGTGTGGTTGAAATGAAAAGAGAGAAAATTAATGTAATGAAATTTAATTTAATGGGGCTCAAACGGGGGCATAAACAATAATGTAAAAAATAATCTACATGTAGCATGATTGTTCATATAAAGTGATGCCACTATTTTATTGCTACTTCCTCTATAAATTGATGCAATCAACAAACTACAATTTGATAACTACTTATATAACATTGCGGCAAGAGTAATGTTATTCATCGTGATGATGAACACAAGTCATAGATTAACTGCTACATTGTCCAATATATTAAAATGAATTCCAAATTTGTTGATTAATGTAACAATTATCACCGACACATAGACGGTTCCCACTGATAATGAATAACATTATTCTTACGGCAAAATGCATAGAGAACATCACTAACGTGACATTAATATACCAATATCCGTCTCACTAAAATAGGTTTCAATCCAACAAAAAATTAGGGTCTGTTCTCTTTGTTGTTTTCAAGTTGTTTTCTGTTTTCAATTTTCCAAAATAGTGAAACGTGTTCTCTTTCCTATTTTCCAAAACATATTTTTGAAAATGAAAAAAAAAATAACACTAAAAACTGAAAACGTTGGAAACCACGTTTTGAGTATTTTGAAGCCAAAACAGGGTAATTTTCAGAAAACACGCGAAACGACTTTTCTGACTTATCCTCCCTCTCCCCCTTCTACCGGAACACATGGCTTCCTCTGGTTCTCCTCTTCTGATCTCACAAACCTACAATCCAAAATTTGTTTAAGCTTGTGTTGCTAAGTCTACGTGTTTTCTACTGGCTCTTTCAATCTGGTTGTCTTTACTAAACCCTACAAGGATAAAAAGGAAGTGGTCGTGGCCGCAGCTGATTATTACTCCACTCTCAGCGTGCCAAAGTCTGCCGATAGTAAGGAAATTAAGGCTGCTTATAGAAGGTTGGCTCGACAGGTACTAAACCCAGCTTGGATTTTTGGGTTTCGTTTCTACTTTTCCAATTTCTTAAAACTTTGGCACTTTGCTAATCCTGTGTTTAAGTGATTGTTTTAT